CTTTGGCATCAAAATTGGATATAACCACATGAAGATCTCCTTAAACTTGCTACTTGACTACTTAAACGATGAGATCCTTATAAGCATAAACTTGCCATTTCGGATTTATTTTGTCACGCTTGAACTCGCGACCATGAGAGATAATTATGAAAGTGGCCCAACTCAACTTGAAACCTTAGGATCAACTTGAATAAGAACCAAATGACCATGTCCGGAAGGATTGGATTATGGGCGCCATCTCCATTTGAATTTAATACACTCGCATACCCTTGTTAGTCATAATAAACACGCGTACAAAAGTAAAAGGGAAACACGTAAAAAAACAAGGAGGTGGGATATTAAGGTCAAAAATTAGGGTGCGACATCTAGCATTCCTGAGCATGTCAGATAATCTTCTAGATACCTTACTTCTAATTATTTTTTTTATAATTTTGAACTCGTCAAATTTTTGCCAAGTACACCTTTCATGCAAGTTATATGACAGTCAAATAAAATGTTAGATATATATAACAAAAAATAGTTATAAAATAACATAACTATAATAAAAATACAATTTACCTTGAATTTATCAAACCATATATCTTTCTCAGTATCTAGGAGCTCTTTGAAAGACTTAATGAGTTTTGTATACATCAATTGAATGACCCAGTTTACTGCTTTTGCAACAGGCCGACACGGATCAAAACTAAACAACAATAATTTGAATGAGTATTAAACATAAAATGACAATATATAGTTAAATAAATATTATAACTTAAAAACATACCCAGTTCCCCCAGGCCTAATCAGATGTCGTCCTTCAACCACCAAAAGCTCCCCTACAACATGATTTGTCTGCTCCTCCTGAATATCGTCATCCTCCTGAATAGTTTGGTCATCCTGCTGCTGACACGCAGGTATATGTGTGGGGTGTGGAATGTGGGAGTCAGATCCCTCTGGCTGGTGCGTGGAGGGAGTCTGCTGAGGAAAACTAGATCCCCCAGGCTGCAGCATGAAAGAATACTGTTGAGGAAAACCAGATCCCCCAGGCTGTGCGAAGGGAGTTTGCTGAGGAAAACTAGATCCCCCAGGTTGCTGTGTGAAGGAATACTGTTGAGGAAGAAAACTAGCTCCCCCAGGAAAACTAGATCCCCCAGGCTGCTGCGCGAACGTAGATGGTACTTGAGGAAAATAGACCCCCCAAGCGGATGCATGAAGGATCCCCCAAACAGACTAATAAACGATGGATTCCCATATGGAACCGTTTGGGAGGAGGAGAGTAATGTCGTAAATGGCTGTGAAGTCTCTACGGATATTAGATCTGCCTGAGTCTGTGGGCGAGAAGCATACATGGGCGAGGGTGGTACCTCACGTACTCTAGCTCTCGAACGGGGCTGGGTCTCCTTAGCCTTACTCTTGTCAGTTCGGGGTGGCATTGTATCTATTTTGAAAGAGTTATCAATAAATAAATCAAGACTATTTTCAACACAATATATATATATATATATATATATATATATATATATATATATATATATATATATATATATATATATATATATATATATATATATATATATATATATATATATATATATATATATATATATATATATATATATATATATATATATATATATATATATATATATATATATATATATATATATATATATATATATATATATATATATATACGTAAAAATCATTTGTACTCATATAAAACAAATAATACATTAATAAAAATTGTTCGAACACATATAAAAACTATATATTCAAACTCTTCATGCTCTTCATCCATATTATCTTCATCATCTGATCTAATAATGTCCTCAGATCCAAACTCTTCATGCTCTTCGTCCACATTATTATCTACCAACAACACAGATGTGTCAATTTGATGACCCTCGGTTTTGTTTTAATTTCACATCATTAATTTGAGAAATTTCATCGTCTTGGTAAGCAGCATCTTCCACTAGATCGCCAGTTTCAATATGACCCACTGGTTTTGTTTTGATTACAACACACCATCCACGTTTACGTGACTGAATTGAAGGGTACGGAACATAATAAACTTGTGTAACGATATGTGACATTATGAAAGGGTCATACTCTTTGTACCTTCTGTCCATTCGAATATCAACGGTGTTATATTTCTTATCTATTTTTGTGCCCCTGGCAGATGGATCATACCAATCACAATAAACAAGACAACTCTATTTTACGAGTCCAAGTAATTGTATGGCAACTCCTAAATATGCGTAACAATGCCATAGAAGTCGTCTTCACCACCATTTATAACTCCTTTAACAAATACACCACTATTTACGGTTTTTTTTCCCTTCTGTCCAAGCCTGGGTGTGAAATTTATAGTCGCTCACAAAGTATGTGTGCCATTCAATTGCTCTTTGAACAGGCCCTCTAGATAAGTTTCTCAAATGAAGTATTTCTTGAGTCGGTGCAACAATGCATGACAATTGATCCTTGAACCATGCTGGAAAAGATACATGTATGTGACCGGTAATTGCTAGTTCACCGGTGCTTTGAAAATAGGAGGCGTTAAATGCCCTATAAAGAAACATATTATTAGTTAAAATGTAATAATTTAATTTGTAAAGCCAAATAGGTAGTTATGTTAGGGGTATACTTACTCAAGATATAGCCTAACTTCAATACAGTTAATTAGAACATGAACATGTGCAGATTGCAATTCTTTTTGGGTCGGCCAATGCACATTCTCCTTTCCAGAGGGGCGACCGGGAAGACTGAAGATTGATAAGGTAAATTGACTTCTTTTGTTAACATCAAATTCATTCCTTATGATTCTTGGAGTTAACATCAAATGATTGAAATAATGACTGCAAAAATGTGATGTTTCCCGATGCAAGTAATGTGCACATATTGATCCTTCAACTTTAGCTTTATTTTTCACTGATCGCTTTGAATCACACATGAATCTTTCAAAGGGATACATCCACCTGTATTGAACGGGGCCACCAAGATGGGATTCATATGCAAGATGCACAGGTAGATGCTCCAGAGAGTCGAAAAGACCAGGTGGAAAAACTCGTTCCGACTTGCATAGAATAACTGTAATATTTTGGTCTAACTTAATGATGCTATCGACTCTTAAAGTTGACGCACAAATATCTCTGAAAATTGACTTATTTCAATCAGTGGATATAGCACATGGTTGGGTAGTGAAGTGAACGCAATTGGAAGCAATTGTTCCATGAAAACATGACAATCATGACTTTTCATTCCATGCAACTTCCCAGTTTTGGTGTCAGCACACCTTGCTAAATTTGAAGCATAACCATCCGACATTCTCAATTCATTTAACCATCGACAAACCGCTTTAGCATCTTGGGAAGTTAGACTGTAACAAGCCTTAGATTTTAATAATTTTCCATTAGGCCGAGGCTTCAACTCCAACTCTTTTCTATCACACAAAATTTCCATGTCCCTTCTAGCCTTCTCATTATCTTTTGTTTTGCCTTGAACATCCATCACTGTGTTAAATATATTAGCGAAGAATTTCTTTTCAATATGCATAACATCAAGATTATGTCGCAATAAATTATCTTTCCAATATGGGAGGTCCCAAAATATTCTTCTTTTTGTCCAATTGTATTTGACCCCATATCCTTGAATTCTGCATGCTTCACCATAATCTGTAAATTTTGGCAGTTCAGAAACTCGATTCCATATTTCCTCTGGTGACAATCGCGGAGGAGGAAAATATTTTACTCATACATCTTTTTTAAAATCAGTCTTGTTTCTTCTAAAGACATGGTCTCGTGGTAGGAATCTGCAGTGACAGTCGAACCACGAACTTTTCCCTCCAAATTCCAAAGTAAAAGCCTTTGTAAATTCCATGCAATTTGGACATCCCATTTTACCATGTGTACCCCAACCAAATAACATTCCATAAGTGGGAAAGTCATTAATAGTCCACATCAAGGTAGCTCACAAAGTAAAGTTTTGTTTGCGAGATATATCATAGGTCCATTCTCCAATCCACAACCTCTTCAAATCATATATTAAAGGTTGTAAATAAACGTTGATTTCGGCTTTAGGACTTGACTGTCCTGGAATGAGGCAAGTCAAAAACATGTATGGTTTTGTCATGCACATCTCTGGAGGGAGGTTGTAAGGGGTTACGATAACTGGCCAACAGGAATTTGCAATTGCGGATGCTTGGACGTATGGAGTAAAACCATCAGAGCATAGTCCGAGCCTGACATTTCTAGGTTCTGCAGCAAAATCAGAATGTACCCTATCAAAATGTTTCCATGCCTCACCAACAGATGGATGTCGCATAATGCCTGAACTTGTTTTGTTTGTATGATGCCATGTCATTTGACTTGCACTGTGCATTGAAGCAAACAATCTTTTTAACCTTGGTATTATCGACAAATAAAACATGGACTTCACTGCTACACGTTTTTGTTTACGGTTAATGGCTTTACTACGAACTTGATATCTCGGACTCTTACAGAACTTACATTCCTCCAGCGCCTCTCATTAATACCAAATTCATTATCATAAAACAACATACATCCATTTATGCAACAATCAATATTTCGTACTTCTAAAACCAACTTTGACACCAACCTCTTTGCATCATAATAACTTGTAGGCAAGTTGTCTTTTGTAGGAGTCGCATCCAACATCATTTTTGCAAAGTATTCCAAACACTGATCAGGAACATTCCAATTTGACTTCGCGGCTAATAATCTCACACACATTGATAATTTTGAATCTACCGACCCCTTAAACAACAGTGTATTCATTTCTTTCAACAATTGGTAAAATTTTTGTGCTTCCTCATTCGACAACTCTTCCCAATCAAAATCCTAAGGTTCATCATATGTCACATTTACTCCAAATGCATTGCCAACCATATCGTTGACCAGATTAAATTGTTCCTCAAATTCCATATGTGATCGACTGCTTGATACGTGTGTATTAGTTGTCTCTGCATGTACGTTACTCGACAGTTGTTCTCCATTATATGTCTAAACCCAATAATTTTTAATGAAACCATTCCTCTTCAAATGACGTTTTACTTCCTCTGAGTCACTAATTATACGTCTACATTCACATTTAAGACAAGGACATCTTACTCCTCCTTCACGTCGACAACATTCTTGTGCAAATGCCCGCGTGATAAACCCCTTAACTCTTTCCTCAAATTTTGGTGTAAGTCCATGTCTGCCTGATAACGTTCTATCGTACATCCAACTACGATAGTAACGAAAATATTCCATACTGCACATTTGTACTATCATTATATATTATTTTAATAAAATATTGGATTTTAATATGCAAAATAATATAATTCTTTTCACATTAATTTAACAAATTTAAATCTATGTTTTCTATTTCGACACCAACCTAATAAAATATGTTTACTAAAATCTATTTTAAATCTATTTCGACACAAATTTAAATCTATTTTTTCTAAAATAATATAAATTATGTTTACTAAAATATACTACATATTCTCAAAATATAATATTCTAAAATATAATATATAATTTGTTTATTAAAAATAACACATTTAAAATATAATATATATTCATTATTTTTAAAAATATATTTTTTCTAAAATAATATAAATTATATTTACTAAAATATAATACATATTCTAAAATATAATATATAATTTGTTTACCAAAAATAACACATTTAAAATATAATATATATTCATTATTTTTAAAAATCTGTTTTTTCTAAAATAATATATATTATGTTTATTAATATATAATAAGTATTCTATAATATAATATTCTATAATATAATATATAATTTGTTTATTTAAAATAGCACATTTAAAATATAATACATATTCATCATTTTTTAATAAAAATACTTTTTCTAAAAATAACACATTTTAAATATAAGACATATTCATTATATTTTTTAAAAATTACATTTTAATTTTTTCTATTTACAATTTTGTTTACTAAAAATATTTTTAAAAATTCTACTTTTTCTAATATATTATATATTCTGTTTTTAAAAATTAAATACATATTTAAATACAACATTAATATTTTATTTCTAATATATATTCTATTACATATTTTTTTAATATATATTTTGTTTTTAATTCTAAAAATATATATTTTGTTTCTAATATAATATATCTTCTAATATTTTTAATTTTATCTTTCAAACACCCAAACAACATTACATATTTAAATACAACAACAACAAATCTAAAGTTTTATAATCAATAACCAAATATTTCATATATCACTATAAATCTGAAAAATAAATATATTTAATGCGTAAATACCTCAATGGAGCAAATTCCTAAAGCTTCAATGGAGAATTCTTAATCTTTGATCTGAAAAAAATTAATAATTAATAATAAGAAAAAATTAAAATAAACTGTAAAACAAAAATCAAAACAAGGAAAATAACATTTACCTCAAAATATTTGTGTAACTTTGATTCAAAAATGGAAGAGATCAGAAACATGCAGAAGGAGAAGGAGGAAGAAAGAAGGAAAAGGAAGAAGAAAGGAGGATGCGTGAAAGAATTCTGGACGTTTAATATATAGTGACACTTGCGACGTGGTGGACACGTGGGAACGTTTCCTCGTAAAAACCATGTCGGAACCCATTAAAGTAATGCTCATTTGCGACGTAATTGTCCCATGGAAAAGTTGCCACGTGAGACGCACGTCGGAACTTTCCCAACAATTAATGTATTAACGTCGCATTATTAAAGGCCAACCCAACGGTAAAAAGAAAAGTTTAAAATATTTATGTGTCCCATTTACGACGTGAGATTCACATGGGAACTATGTAACAATCAATTTCATAATTAATGTGTCTGAAAAGTAAAAGTAAAAACTGACCACCTTTATTATTTTTAAACTTGCGGCGTGTTTTCCATGAGGGTAGTTTGTGACATGTTACCCACGTCGCAAATATAAAGACTTTTTTGAATTTTTTGTTCCCATGTGTTTAATACGTCATAATTAAATTTTTAAAAAATTCAAACTTCCCTTCTTAAAAACAACACTCATCGTTGTAGATTTTAATATATTAATTAAATATTATAGTGATATGGATTACACGCCGCAACCTATTTTTTTTAGTGTATTATTAATGAAACAGGAGGTATAAAACTTGGAAATATTCACGAAATTTATTTAAGACGGTTGATATCATATGGTTACACCCTCTTTGATGGCCTGTTAAAATTGGAGTGTTGTTTGGTCAATCTGCAAAGAGAATATGATGACTTTAGGTAGAGTAAGCACATAAGAGTTTAGAAGCAAATTCAATAGGGTTGCAAGATTCAATTTGCTAAATAATATGAATAATATCATCTTAATGAATAGGCTTATTGAAGCAGTTGTGACAGGATTCGGGTTCGATAAAGTAGAAAGCAGCAGCAAAACACTCATAATAACAGATAAAAACAATTATATGGTTACCTTCAAACCAGTATGATCATTTACTTTTCATTTTTGTTCATGTAAAGAAAATAACTAAACTCCATAAAATCTAAAGGAAATTAAGAATACTCTGTAGCAACCCATAAAAGGACCATAAAACATAAACAATGGACATCGACATGCTTGGCAAATATATATATTAAATTATGGAGAAAGAAAGACTTAGATTATTTGGTATTTAAGGTTTTAATCCAAGATAGTAAGACATTGACTGGAATATGTTTATCATTGCAAGAAAAATAGAAGAAATAAAGCATGCATTTAAACTTACAGTATCAAACACTTCGATTTTTTGCAGTTATAACATTGCATCCCTAAGTATCTCCAATTGGCTCTGACTTTCACTTACATATCCAAGCTAGGCATGACTCTATTCTATTTAAAACCTTCGTTAGCTAGTTGTGTAAGCTGGTACTAGTGATGAATCTTCAGTAGGCTAAACCCCATTGTTTGATGGATCCAATTCTATTTCAGAAGGATACTAACACAAATAGTCTAATATTGTTTATAATTGAGAATAAAAAGTTCTTTTACAAGTTATAAATAAACAAAATAAGGAATACATGTACATGGGACAATTGCACAAACATTATTGAATTAGTCACAAACTCATAGTTTCATTTGAATGTCGAAGGTATCAATTGTGGCGGATAGCGGCATTATCTCGAGAGAGCAGACCAGCACGGAGGCCGACCTCTATAAAATCTCTCATCGCGATAAGTTATGAAATCACGACTATTATGAAATTCGTGGCCGCTTTTTGAGCAAGCACAGTCGCTTTGATCTTTTGATGCTCAGGTGATCCCCCTATATATTTGTGTTCCACTTACTTTAGTATATACATAAGAAAAATTTGAGCTATATATAACAGTGGATCCTTTTAATTTGAGGTATGTGATTGGAACTATTAGCATACTATGTTATAAATAATGTTGATACTTCCATTTTCTCATTTTTGTTAAAACAAGTAATGATAGTTTTCTTCTTTAATTGGCACATGAAATTCAAGAAACTAAACCTTCATGTAAAGAACCAAAGCAGTAAAGCAACAATCTATGAAGACCAATATTTAACTTAATGATCCCACAACAAACCCGAAAACCAACCAACATGTAAGTACCAACAAAACACTCTCAACCAAAGACTAATGCTATTACCCAAATGAATCAAAGTGAACAGAGTAAAGAAATACTGTTACAATAATATTATTCATATTATTAATTTTGTATTATCACTCCATTTGTACGGAAATTTTAGTGCTATCAATTAACGACAAAAGTAATTAGAAATAAGAATAAAAATAATATTTTTAAAATTTAATGAAAATACCTATGATACCACTTTTATAGAACCGCTATCAAAGTGAATACTCTTATTATTTATTAACCAATTTCGTTCTTTTCTTTTATGCACACTGTCATAGCGTTTTTAGATTAAGTGAAATTATATGATACTCTTATAATAGCGCTAGAAAGAAAAGCGCTATTATAAGTATATATGTGGAAATTTTAATAGCACTTTGCTAAAAAGCGCTATTATATTAGTGATATTATATGTTAAAATTGTAGTCGTGATGATAGATTAAAGTGTTGGATCTTCAAAAGAGAATTTAGATCAGACTGCATGTTCAGAGAAAAAATTATTGGACTTGATACTTCACTTATAAGAGGGGTGAATTGTGTGGTTTGGAAAACGTGGTTTTCAAAACTTTTGGGAAATAAAATTAAAGTTTAAAACTATTTGAAAAAATAAACAGCGGAAAATAAAATACAGAAAATGAATTGCGAAAATAAAAGAAGTTAAGGAAAAAGAGAAACACCAAGAGTTATAGATGTTTGGTCAAAAAAGAGAGGTCTACTCCTCTCCTCAAGAATTGATCATAAGAGTTTCCATTAAACGTTGAGAGTTTTTAGTAGGAAAGACTCACAAACCCCCTTATATAAGGAAATGGTGATTGATCTTCAATCACAATATACAAGACAATGTGTAACACCCTTTTCTACCCCAAAAATATAATGACAACTCATTCACATTTATCAGAGTAATATTTTAGACATAATAAAAATCGCCTCAAAGGGCGTACATTTCTCAATAACTCAAATAAAAGTCAATGCTCCGTAAACAACGGGTTCTCCAAAAATTACTCAAAAATTGCTTAAAAGGTAGCAGAACTCAAAAAGGCAAAATCTAAAGTTTTCCTTGCAGCAACAACATAATCAAAATAACAATAATCAATAAAACATGGTTTAACTCAAAGACCCCAACCCGATGTTGCACTATTAGAACAAGACCCTCTAAGTCAACCAAAAGTCAAAAACTCCAAAAAGTCCTCGACGACATCCACGGCTAAACCTGGTCATCTGCACGTTACCCACGTGGAGGCAACATTCAACAGGCAGGGTGAGTAAAACGGTTCATAATAATCAATATAGGAATCAATATATAAAATAACATCATTTTCATATTCATCATCATCATAATCATCAAGGAAACATCAAAAAGCCATAATATCATAAATTACACCTAATTGTCACATAAATGCAAATGCAACAAGACTCATGCATGTGGTACCAATTCACTAAAATTCGATGGACACTGGGCCATCAACCCTCCATAGATCCCCATCAATAGGATCGATTCTACACAAGAGGCAGAGCACAACAAAATACTTCACATCTGCACAATGGGACTGAAGTCACAAGAATTAAACACTAGACCGAAGTCCGAAATGCATATGAATGCATGATGCACACGTGAATATCATCCTCATAATAAACTCATTAGGTGCATCAT